TTGTGCATGGGGTCGCTATGAGTCAGAAATGACTCAATGGCACTTAACAACAACAACATATATATACAGCCAGAGTGAAGTCAGAAGAGACTCATAGTTTTCTAAAAAGGCAAGTTTCTAGATGTGTCCGGAGTGGACCTTGGCACTGTGGGTATCTCCTGCTGGTGTTTCAACTGCTCTGAACTCTGCTGCTATCATAGTGTGTCATGGGTACTTGGTTCTCTTGCCACTACACACCATGCCTGTGAGTTCACTGTGGTTAGGAATGATGCCATCTATACTCCTTACATACCGCCCTGCCCCTACCTGAATTTAGAGACCATCTAAAGAATAGATAAGATGCATTGAACACCATTGACCAAAAACCAGAAGAATTGTGGGATGACATCAACAAGATCATCATCCATGAAGAAATTAAGAGGTCATTAAAAATATGAGACAGAAAGAAAAGACCAAAATGGATGACAGAAGAGACTCTGAAATTTGCCCTTGAGCAGAGAGTTGCTAAAGCAAGTGGAAGAAACGACAAGATAAAAGAGTTGAACAGAGGATTTCAAAGAGCAGCTCGAGCAGACAAAGCCAATTACTATAATGAAATGTGCAAAGACATGGAGCTAGAAAACCAAAAGGGAAGAACACTGCTGGCATTTTTCAAGCTGAAAGAACTGAAGAAAAAATTTAAGCCTCGAATTGCAGTATTGAAAGATTCTATGGGCAAAATATTGAAATGAAGCAGGAAACATCAAAAGAAGATGGAAGGAATACACAGAGTCACTGTACCAAAAAGAACTCGTAGATCTTCATCTATTTCAGGAGGTGGCATATGTTCAAGAACCAATGGTAGTGAAGGAAGAAGTGGAAGCTGCACTGAAAGAATCAGCAAAGAACAAGGCTCCAGGAATTGATGGAATACCGATTGAGATGTTTCAACAAATGGATGCCCCGCTGGAGATACTCACTTGGCCATGCCAAGAGATTTGGAAGACAGCTACCTGGCTGGCCAACTGACTGCAAGAGATCCCTATTTGTACCCATTCCAAAGAAAGGTGATACTACAGAATGTGGAAATTATCGAACAATATCATTAATATCACATGCAAGTAAAATCTTACTGAAGATAATTCAAAAACGGTTCCAGCAGTATATTGACACAGAATTTCCAGAAAGGCAAGCTAGATTCAGAAGAGGACATGGAATGAGGGATATCACTGCTCATGTCAGACGGATCTTGGCTAAAAGCAAAGAATACCAATAAGATATTTATGTTTTATTGACTATGCAAAAACATTTGATTGTGTGGATCATAACATATTGTGGATAACATTGAGAAGAATGGGAATTCTGGAACACTTAATTGTACTCCTGAGGAACTTGTACATAGACCAGGAGGCTGTCATTCAAATAGAAGAAGGAAACACTGCATGGTTTAAAATCAAGAAGGAAGTGCGTCAGGGCTGTATCCTTTTCCCATACTTATTCAATCTGTATGCTGAGCAAATAATCTGAGAATATGGATTATAATAATAAGAATGTGTCATCAGGATTGGAGTAAGAATCATTAACATCCTGTGATATGCTGATGACACAACTTTGCTTGCTGAAAGTGAGAATGACTCGAACCACTTACTGATGAAGATTGAAGAATACAATCTGCAGTGTGGATTACACCTGAATATAAAGAAAGCAAAAATCCTCACAACTGAACCTATAAGCAGCATCACAATAAATGGAGAAAAGATTGAGGCTGTCAAAGACGTCGCATTGCTTGGTTCTACAATTGATGCCAATGGAAGCGGCAGTCAGGATATCAGATGATGTACAGCACTGTGTAAATTGGCTGCGAAGGACCTCTTTCAAGCGAAGAATAGCAAAGATGTCTCCTTGAGGACTAAGGTGCGCCTGACAGAAGCTATGTTATTTCCAATTGCCTCATATGCATGTGAGAGCTAGACAACAAAATAAGGAAGACCAAAGAAGAATTGATGCTTTTGAGCTGTGGTGTTGGCAAAGAATGCTGAAAGTATTGTGGACTGCTACAAGAACTGACAAGTCTGTTTGGGAGGAAGTGTAGCCAGAATGCTCCTTGGAGGCAAGAATGGCCAGACTTCGTCTCATATACTTTGGTCATGTTGTCAGAAGGGACCATTCCCTGGAGAAGGTTGTCATGCTTGGTAAGGTGGAGGGTCAACAAAAGAGTGGAAGGCCCGCAGCGAGATGGATTGACACAGTGGCAGCAGCAGTGGCCTCAAGTACAGCAGGGATCACGGAGCTGGTGCAGGACCAGGCGGTGTTTCCTTCTGCTGTGCATAGGGTTGCTGAGTCAGAGATGACTCAATGGCACCTAACAACAACAACAAAAACATACTGCCCTATATAGGGCACCCAGTGGCTCACAACCTATTTGCCCAGATGAACACAATGGAAATCCCAAGGCTCAAGAGAAAAGGATCTGCGGTGTCACTTTTCTTCATTTTCCTTTTAATTTTTACTGTGATTTGGCATGCTATCACTTTTCATCCAGTTCTTACCCAAGCTGAACAGCACGCTGAACCACCTTTCTGTCTAAAGTCATGTAAAACAAAAAGTCACTAAACCAAGAAAAAGTTGCCAAATCATTTATTTATT